TTTTTTTTTTTTGTGCCACCCTTGATGTGGGACTCCTTGGGTGTGTTTTCTCAGCAGTGAAAGGGAGCTTCTTCATAAGCCTAAGCTCTAGGCATAACAGGTACCTAAAAATGGCAAATACTTCCAAGAGCGGGAATACCAAAGTGTGGCTACATCAGCATTTTCAAGTCTGCAAGTTAAGTGCATCGTACTCAGAAACTTAAAGAATCCTATTGACAAAGCTCCCCTGCTAATTATTTTCTATTTAGGGGAAATTTAACTGCTGATATATTATAATAATGTCTACTTTCTTAGGAATAGAATAATGTCAATTTACAATATTACATGAAAGGACTATGTATAAATATCATAATTTTATTTAATTGAGCATAATTTTATTTAATTGAGAATCATATCAAGAATGAAACAGTCTTTGGTTAAATAGACATGTCTAGTGTTGAAAATAGATTTCACACTCCACATGCATTACATAGCATAGACAAACCATAGCTTCATTATAATTCAAATTTTCTAATAACAGGCTTGCTGTTACAGCAATCAAATGTGCATCAATAAATTATTCTAGACATGTTTTATTTTCAGAGCAGTATTTGATGGTTAACTCATTAAAAGTGAAATACAGACTTTCTGAAAAAGTTGCAGAAATACAGTTCAACCAAAAAATAACTGTTTCCTAATGTGTCAATATATACAAGGTATATTGAAACAACATCAGAATTGTATGTTTTCTGTCAACATGACGGATATGTACAATCACTGTAAATAAAAACATGGGGGTCAGGATATAGTTATTGATAGAAACAAAAGAGTTCTTTCCCAGAATATTTAGGAATATTCCAGGAAGTTTGCTGGGAGTACAGTTCTTTGCCATAAACCTCAGGGGAGAATCAGTATGTATAGACTTGGGTACCTATAGCTTATTCAACATGCTTATGTCAGAAACTTGAAGATATCCTTCCTTTTTAAGTGTCCCACATAAAATCTATATAGAGATAAGTTGAATTCTTATTAATTTGTATTCAATCTGAAGTTGAATACATTTAAGGAAACTTAAATCTTCTCCCTCTTTCACAGATGCGTATGATTAAAGGTTAACCAAAGACAACCAATGTCTGTTCTGCTAGATTTTGGCATAGTTCAGTTCTTTGTTTTCATTAGGGACTAACAAGAGATAGCATAAATGCCTTAACCTAAGCTAAACCTTTTATTTTGTTTGTATTAAATTTTTTACTCCAAGGTAATTATGGATTCTGAGATAATTGCAGAAATTGTAGATTCCTATGCAGTTTTAAGAAACAATACAAAGTCATCCTGTCTGCCCTTTACCCAGTTTCCCCCAAGGGTAATATCTTGCAAAACCATATGGTATCCCAGCCAGGATTTTGACATTAACATAGTCAAGACACAGAACGTTTCCGTCATAAGGATCCCTTGTGTCACTCCCTCCTCTCCTCTACCCTCCTCTCTAGCAACCTCTAATCTGTTCTCCATTTCTAGTATTTTGCATTTCAAGATGTTGTATAAACGGAACTGTACAGCACGTAACCCTGTGGGATTGACTTTTCACTCAGCATCGTTCTCTGGAGAGTCATCCAAGTTGTTGCTCATATGGGAAATTATTTTTATTGCTGAGTAGTATTCCACGGCATGGATGTATCACATGTTTAACCAGCCACCCATTAAAGGACATCTGGTTGTTTACAGTTTTTGAATTTTATGAATAAAGCTGCTATGAACATTCATGAACAAGTGTTTGTGTGAACATAAGTTTCCATCTCTCTGGGATAAATGCCCAACAGTGCAATTGCTGAGTGGTATGGCAGCTGCATGTTTAGTTTTACAGGAAACTGCTAAGTGCTTCTGCAGAGTGGCTGTTCCATTTTACATTCCCACCAGCTCTGTATGGCTGAAGCAGTTTCTCTGCACCCTTGCTGATATCTGGTGTTGTTACTTGATCTTGGCAATTGTGCTGAGCGCACAGTGGTCTCTCTCTCACTGTGGTTCCAATTTTCAGTTCCCTAAGGATCAATGATGTTGAGTGTCTTTTCATGGACTTATTTGCCATTTGTACATCCTCTTCAGTGGAGTGTTTGTATATGTTCTCCATTTTTTATTTGGATTTTTTTTAAAAAATTGTTGAATTTTGTGAGTTCTCCATATATTCTAGGTATTAGTCATTTGTCAGATATGTGCTTGCAAATATTTTCTCTTGGGCTGTAGCTTGCCTTTTCATTCCCTTACTATGGTCTTTTTCAGAGCAAAAGTTTAAAATTTTGATGAATTTTTCAAACTCTTCTTTATGGATTGTGCTTTTTGGCGTCAAATCAAAGTATTCTTGAAGCTTAGCCTTAGGTCCCTACAATTTTCTATTTTTTTAAAAAAAGTTTTTTAGTTATACATTTTATATTCAGGATTGTGACCCATTTTGAGTTCATTTTCATATAAAGTACGAGGTTTAGGCTGAGGTTTTATTTGCCTCTGGATATCCCATTGCTCTAACATTTGTTGAAAAGACTATGCTCCCCTCCAGTGAATTACTTTTGTACCTTTATACAAAACCCAACTGAGTGTATTTGTGTGGTTCTTTCTCTAGATTTTCTATTCTGTTCTATTGATCTATGTCTGTGCCTCCACCAATAAAAACCATACTGTCTTGATTACTGTAGCTATATAATAAATTTTTACATTGAATAGAGTGATTTCTCCTACTGATCTTTCTTTCATAAGAGTGTTTGAGCTATTTCAAGGTCTGTACCTTGGAATTTTTAGAAAAACTTGGATATGTCTACGAACTTTGCTGGAATTTTGACAGAAATTGCATTAAATCTGTAGATAAATCTGGGGAGAACTGACATCCTTAATACTTTGTGTCTTTCAATCCATGAACATGGTGTATCTCTTCATTTATTTAGGTCTTTGATTTCTTTCATTAGCATCTCTTAATTTTCAGCATATAGATGTTGTACATGTTTTGATAAATTTATACCAAAATATTTATTTTCTTTGGAGTGACTGTGAATGGTATTGTGCTTTTGATTTTGGTTTCCACATTGTTCATTGTTAATATTTAGAAATGTGATTACATTTTGTGGACTGACCTTGTATCCCAAAACCTTGCTGAGCCCACTAGTTCTATGAGTTTTCTTTTTTTTTTTTTTTTAATAGATTCTTTGGAATTTGCTATGCAGACAATCATGTCATCTGTAAACAGAGATACTTTCTTTCTAATCATATGCATTTAATTTTTCTTGTTTATTGCCATGTGTAGAATTTCCTACACCCTTCAACATTTTCATCAATGTAAATTTCTAGAGATTTGCTGAAACATACCGGCCTGAATGGGGCCCATCATTCTTACACAGATGCACTTTCAACACTCTTCTTATCATCCAACCTGTGTAGACCTCATTTCCTAACGTTTGGATAAATAACCAATAACATTCATTAGTGGTTATAAATGGCACCCACACTGCAAAGCCCCTTGAAGCAACAGAGAGGGCTTAATGAGCTGAGTGGAACCTGATTATAAAAGCAAACTTAGCATATAAACATTATTCGTAAGACAGAACCTGGAGGTAGTGATGCCCAAAGAATTAAGGTATGAGGTTGACTTATGAGATAGGTGGTTTATCCTTCCGGTTTCCCCCTCTTACCTCTAAACTGGGGGTAGCGAAAATTTTTAACTCAGAGATAGAAAGTACCATCAATGTGAACTTATTCTTATGTATTAGAAATTGTTATTGTTAGGAACTCTTTTGAGAATTGGATTTTGACAAAAAAAGAATTCTGTGCATCTTACTATGCTTTTAGTACAGGCACTTAAAAATATTTTGATATCTCAAACTGTGTTCATGTCTTAATATTTAAAATAAAAGTATAACCATTAATAACATGTTACTTATTTAGGAAATGTAAATTTCCTACAGATAGTGTCATGTTTTGATGTTATACAACACACCTAACCCACCACAGAGGGTTCATAGCCATTATAAAAAGTTGGAAAACTGGGTACTGCTAGATCTTTATAGACTTCAATGTAAGAGGTCTTGGATGTACACACATAGGTCCTCTATAGGCCTTAGATGTGTACTTGGGTACAATGTCGTTTCTTTCAAAACCAGGAGCTCCTGCATATAATTTGTAAAAATTTACATCTGTAGTAACAATCAAATTTCAGAGACTTTTTTTTTTTTTTTGGTAGTTAACAGTGGCAAATTAGTGACAGGCACGTTAATCCTCACTTTCCTGATTTTGCTGATTCAATGACCCCCATGCATTTCAGTGACTCTCTTGCTCCATCCATGATGTGTGGTGAGTCAGAGCCTGGGACGCTGATTTAGCCTGTCTGACCCCAGTTTCCTCATCTATAAGTTGCAACGATGATATGAGTCTCATTGGTTGTACGGCTGACAGGAGATGACCCTGCCAAGGGCCTGGTCCCAGGCTGGGCAGGGATCGTGCCGTCAATTACCACCTTCTCTGCTTCCTTGTACATGGTCCTTGCTTCCTTACCTCCCCCCTCTCCTCCCTACACGCCACAGAATGAGATGCTTCTTATTTTGGATGCCACTCCTCGTGCCTAAGGGACGGGAACCCTCCGTCAGAAGCATTAGCCGTGGGGATCTGGGGAGCTTGGTGCTGAAGCCGTCCCACTCCACGAATGAATCACCACGGTCGGCTTACACAGAATGCGGTTGCGCCCAGGGCTCTGTGTTCTCACGCGGTTTGTCAGGTTACAGTGGGACCAAGGCTTCCTAAGTGACCAGGACATTCTAGCAAATGGGATTTGATAATGCATCTGCAGTCTGGTAAGTAGCACGATGAGGACTCCAGAGACAACCCGTCCTGTGTGCTCACCCCAAACGCAAGACCGTGGCCGTGTGATGCAGGTTTAGCTCCTTCGTGCTCCCTGTGAGCTTCGAATCAAGACTGCTTTGGGCGGAGCTAGCAACAAAAATACTCTCACAATACAATGCAATCACATGGCACACACTTTTTTTTTTTTTTTTTTTTTGGTCCTAAGGAATGGAACGGCAACTGTCTCCACGTGTCACTTTGACAATCAATGATGATTCCCTAGTCGGTGAGACCGGGTGGAATAAGATACAAACAGAGGTTATATATACGTATACCTGCATGAGCTGGGGGTTTGCAAATGACCACTCCAATCTCCAGCCTGGCACGGGGTTCCCCGGTCACCCTCTCTCGTTCTGTGGGGAGGGTAACAGGGAGGCCGGGAAGCCGGCAATGGACAGACAGCTGTCAGGCGCCGGCGGGCAGTGCCACGGAGAGGGTGTTCATTTCCCGCAAACCCCGAGGACCTTCTTACCGCATCAGGCCTTTCTTGGGGCTGCTTTGAAGTACTCCTCCTTGGAAATGTCGGCTACTCCTCCATACCATTTCTGCAGCCAGATATGTTCTACCTTCATCTTCATAAAGAACCATTCATACTGACGAGGCCACTTCCTCATCACGGGGTGTCTGCAGAAGTAAAGGAGAGGTCACGAGACAGTGGCTCCCGTTAGCGGCCGGGCCCTCCTGGGGCACTGGTCCCGTCTCCGTGGCACCGGCCAGGTCATCAGGCCTCCGGACCCCAGGCCTCTTCTGGGCTGAGGCTAGAGGCAGAAGCCAGGGAACCGGGGATGGGGTGGGGGACAGCCTCGGGAAGGCAGGAAACGGCCACGTCCACAGAGGGGCAAACCAGCCTTGTCCCAGGTGCCTTGGTTCAAATCCCAGGTGGGTGGCAGATGGGCTCTGAGGCTTCACGGGCCATCTGCCTTCTCAAACCCTGGTCTCCTTACTCGTCATGGGGGATGACGGTGGCCAGGTCATGGGGCCAAGTGGGCAGCAGACCACATGCATACAGGGAGCACTTGCACAGGGCAAGGGCTCGGCGAACATGGTTGCTGATAGCAGGAAACATCAAGAAAGGCTTTCTGCATCTCCGTATGGAAATTCAAAAGAATCTCGAGGCCCTGAAACAGCTGTTGGTGGGAAGATTCCCACTCCTGCCACAGGCTTAGAACTGCTGAACCAAGGGGAGGGTCAGCCGGGAAGGACAGGGCCCGTCACACTCCACCTTCTACTTCCTGACTGGCTTTCTCCCTCACGTGAAGAACACATGCGTTCTTCTTAAGGGCAGGCACTGGGCTCACTTCTTTTAAACTCATAAAAATAAAAAATTAGGTTTCTATCTCAACATGTCAGAAACAAAACTCGAAGGCCAAGCGCAGACTGGGAAGGCTATTTGCAACAACGGAGACGTGATAATAGGCTGACGGCCTTTTGCAAGAGACAATCTGTTTTGAAGTAACTGTAAACACCCAGAGAGGTTGAAAGTACAATACAACAAACTCTTTCTTTTCCCCCAAACCATTTGAAACGCAGTTGCTGATCTGATGCCCCAACACTCCAAATACTGGTGCCTTCGAGAATGAAAGGGTTTGTTGTTATTTTAAGCAAATGCGTTTTGTACGTGGAACTGGAACGCATTTTGGCCCCTGCTGGCACGGGGCAGGTTTAAGAGTTCCTAATCCAGGGGCCACCGGCTTTGCGGCTTCGCGTGCAGGCAGTGAGTGGCAGGTGGAGGGAGCTCGGGAGACTCACAGTGGGGCCTTCGGAGAAGGGAAAGACGAGATTGGTGGAAGCGGGAGATAAAGGGGCCCAGGAACATAGTGTTAAAAAATGTGTCAACACAGCGCCTGCCGTGATGCAGAGAGCAGGAAATGAATTTAATAAACCCCGCAGCCTACCCAAGATTTTGGCCTCTTCTCACTGCCCGCCATAACACGGAAAGAGGAGTGTTTAGAAATAGAGAGGACTTGGGGCGCCCGGGTGGCTCCGTGGGTTAAGCCGCTGCCTTCGGCTCAGGTCATGATCTCAGGGTCCTGGGATCGAGCCCCGCATCGGGCTCTCTGCTCAGCGGGGAGCCTGCTTCCTCCTCTCTCTCTCTGCCTGCCTCTCTGCCTACTTGTGAGTTCTCCTTCTCTCTGTTAAATACATAAAATCTTAAAAAAAAAAAAAAAGAAAGAAAGAAAGAGGACTTTATAAAGATAAATAGAGTTCAGGGGCACCTGGATAACTGAGTCGTTAAGCATCTGCCTTCTGCTCAGGTCGTGATCCCAGGGTCCTGGGATCAAGCCCGCCATCAGCATCGGGCTCCCTGATCAGTGGGGAGCCTGCGTCTCCCTCTCCCACTCCCCCTGTTTGTGTTCCCTCTCTCACTGTCTCTCTCTGTGTGTCATATAAATAAATAAAATCTTTAAATATATATATGTGTGTGTGTGTGTGTGCGTGTGTATCTCACATGCACGCACACACACACAAAACGAGTGTTCTTTTCTCAACCTATGTTCTGAAAATCCTGCATTCATGTTGATGTATCCAATCGCGATCCAATTCCAGAGTTCATTCCCATTTTCTCTACTTGTGTGTGTGAACCCCTTTTCCATGGCAGTGGGCAACCACACTTCCCCTCTCCTTTCTTCGTTTACCTATTTGATGATTCCCCTGTATGGAAAATCTTCCCTTCTCCTGGGGCTGTGGGTGGCGTTTCCAATTTACCACCTGCTGTCATGTCACTCTTTCACGAACTTAGACAAAGCGTTAATCTGCCCGTTTTTATCACCTGCACCCCGAGGAGGATACCTGCTGCTCCTTGGCCCAGCTCTCACCTTGTACTCCAGGGGGCCCCTACAGGGACATCCCCCTCACTCCAGCCCACCCCTAGACCACCCCTCCCTGCCCACACCCTCCTCCCCGCTTCCCAAGCTCTGCCCTCTTGCTCATTCGACCCCTAGAGCCCTGATTCTTCAACTTCAAGATCTTTTTTTTTTTTTTTTAAAGATTTTATTTATTTATTTGTGAGGGAGGGAGACAGAAAGAACTAGCAGGGGGAAGAGCAGGCAGAGGGGGAAGCAGGCTTCCAAGCACTGAGGAGGGAGCTCAAACTGGGACTCAGTTCCAGAACCGCGGGATCATGACCTGAGCTGAAGGCAGATGCTTAACCAACTGAGTCACCCAGGCGTCCCTCAATTTCAAGATTCTTAAACTTCAACTTAAACAGTGAATTTCCAGGCAAACCGACTTTCAAGCATACACAAACCTTGAAAACATGGCTTGCTTGGCAAATTCCACTTCTTCTGGAGACACGGCGATCATCTGGCCGGTGAGCGTCAAGCGGGCGCATCGGGGGTCTTCCGGGTCAACGATATTTTTTCTGCACTCAAAGAACGTTTTTCACATGTTAAAAGATGATAGAACGTCAGCCTGAAATACCAAAGATTTTATTAAAAATGAAAAATAGTCACGTGGTGGGTCTTATCATTCAGGTTTTTAGATTGTGTGTGATTCCTTTAACATATTTTGATGCGGGCCACGTGGAAGATGTGTTTGGGTGAGTAACACTCCGGTCTGCACCCTCGGGGCAGCAAACACCCGGAGTACCCTTGTGCAGGGGCCACGTACCAGCCCGGTACTCTGTAAGACCGCGGTTGGGAGCCGCTGTCCAGAATCATGATGCTGCTTAGCACACCTCTAGGGGGTGGCACTCGCTTAAATACACTTTGAGTGGTACTCCTAAATAAGGCAGTGGTGACCAAGGTGAAGGTTTTCAGACATCACTATCAGAAGGAGGAGGTTCCATGCTCCGCATATGGGACGCAGGAAACAATGAGAATGTTAGTGCGACTGCACGTGTGACTGCTTGCTGGAAGTGTTCCCGCGGTGGCAGAATTCTTCTAAGACTTGCTTTCATTGAAGGAGTCACCTGGCAGTGAGGGTGTATTTTGTTTTCTGGATATGATCCTTTCTCTGGTGAAATAGAATGCTAAAAGAATATGACATGATATGGTATGACATCTAATATAATTCTCCTAATTAAAAATTCTCATTAGGGTTGCCAGATAAAATATTATATGACACATAGTTATGTGAGAAAATTATTTGTTGTTTATCTAAAGTTTAATTTTTTACATCTTTACTTATATGTATATATTTACATAAACATCCCCCTTTCAACCGTGGAGGGTTGTTAGGGTACTCAGTGTTGTGCAGCCATCACCGTAACTGAATTTTAGAACATTTTCATCACCCCCCCCAAACCCTAGCACCCACTAGCAGTTATTCCTCACTCCTGACCCTGCACCCCATCCCAAGAAACCGCTGGTCTTCTCTCCATCTCTAGAGATGTGCCTGTTTTGCCAGGACAGACGGAATCTGTCTTTGTGACTATCTTCTCTCACTTAGCATCGCGACTTCAAGAGTCATCCGTGCTGTAGCTTGAATTAGTATTTCATTTTTTTTTATTGCCGAATATTATCGCCTTGTATGGCTAGACCCCGTTGTGTTCATCCATTCATCAGCTGACGGCCATCTGGTTTGTGGCCTGCTTTCGGGTCATTACAAATAATGTGGCCACGTGCACGTGTGCACGTGTTTTTGTGTGGACATGTTGTTCAGCAGTGGAACTGTGAGAAAGGGAATCGCCAAGGTTACGTTTAACTCTGTGTGGAGCAGCAGAACTGTTTTCCAAGAAGCTTTTGTGCTATTTGCCTTCCCACCAGCAGTGTGCCGGGCTGGCTCCTCCGTATCTCGGCCAACACCCATCTTGGTCTTTTTCCTTCCAGCCAGCTGAGTGAATACGAAGCCATACCTCACTGTGGTTTTTGTTTGCATTTCCCTGTTGACTAATGATACTGGCCATCTTTTCATGTGCTTATTGGCCATGTATATATCTTGGCAGAAATGTCTGTTCAAATCCTATGCCTGTTTTAATTTGGACTTGATGTGAAATTTTTTTAAAACTTTTTTCAAGTCCTAATTACATATTTTGCTTTTGTTTCCATTTATAATTTTTTAAAAAAACTCCCAGCAACCTAGGGCAAAGGATATTTATCAAAATCCTACACATATGTTATGTGTCATGAAAAAAGACAAGCATGTCCATATTACTAGATATTGTGGTTTTTGTCGTAAGACAAGAAATAGAAATAGGTATAAAGGTTGGGAAATAATAAAGTTATAGTTATTCACAAAGGATATGACTGTATACAAAGGAAAATGCAAGAAAATTCACACTCAGAACATTAGTATTAAAGAGAAAGATCAGCAAAATCATTGAAGTCAAGGACAATGATTATAAAACAACTGCATTGCTACTTATAAGCAAAAAACTATTTTTAAATATTAGAAAGTATATAAGAAAGGGGCTCCTGGGTGGCTCAGCTGGTTGAGTGCCTGCCTTCGGCCCAGGTCATGACCCCAGGGTGCTGGGTTCGAGCCCTGTATCGGGCTCCCTGCTCAGTGCGGAGGCTGCTTCTTCCTCTCCTTCTGCGGCTCCCCTGCTTGTGCTCTCTCTGACAAATAAATAAATAAAATCCTTTTTTAAAAAAAGAATATGAGATGGCAACAAAACCTCTAAAATACCTAGAGATAAATTTAACAAAAATTTTGTAATACCTTGGTGGAAAAACTTGTGACTTTATTGAAATGTATTAATGGTCTAAATAGAGAGTTATCCCATATGCATGAATGAGAAAGCCCAATTAAATAGCAATTTTCCCAGAATTAATCTTTATAGATGAGGCAATTTCAATTCAAACTATTTTTTTCCTTAAAATATTTTATTTATTTATTTGTCAAAGAGAGAGACAGAGAGAGAGAGAGCAAGCACACAAGCAGGCAGAGGGAGAAGCAGGATCCCCGCTGAGCAGGACCCTGGGATCATGACCCGAGCCAAAGGCAGATGCTTAACAGACTGAGGCACGCAGGCGTCCTTCTACTGAAATTCTGATTTTTTAAAAAAGATTTTATTTTTAAATAATCTCTACACCAAATGTGTAGCTTGAACCCACAACCCTGCGATCCAGAATCATGTGCTCCTCCTGACTGAGCTGGCCGGGCGCTCCCAGTCCTACTATTTGTTAAATAGAACTAAACAAGCTGAATCTAAGCTTCACCTGGGATAACAAAGGTCTGAGAATAGTCAAAACCATGATAAAGACAAGCAATATGGTGAGGGGTTTCCTCTACCAGGTAGCAAGCCCCACTATAGAGCCATATTGATTATGGCAGTGGGTACCAGTGCAAGGACAGACCCAGGGAACAGACCAGAAGACCCAGAAATAGATCCACACTTTTATGTTACTTGACATATGACAAAGACTGAGTTAGAAATTAGCAGGTGAGGTTCTAATTATTCAATAAATAGTGCTGAAAAAAATGGTTATCTATATGAAAAAATCTAAAAATAGATCCCTATATCACACCTTGTACGAGTAAATTCTACATTTGAATTAATGATTAATGTATAAAGCAAAGCCGTAATACTTTTTAAAGAGATATTTTATTTATTTATTTGAGATAGAGTGAGAGCAAGTGAGCGAGACAGCACAGGCAGGGGGAGCGGCAGAGGAAGAGGCAAAAGCAGGCTTTCCAGTGAGTAGGGAGCCTGACGCGGGGTTCGATCCCAGGACCCTGGGATCATGACCTGAACTGAAGGCAAATGCTTAACCGACTGAAGCCACCCAGGCACCCCAGCACTAAGACTTTAAGGACAAAATCTTTATGACTTCAGGGTTGTAAAGAATTTCTTAAGCAAGACACAAAATGCACAAACCACAAAGGTAGATGAATATGACTTATTAAAATGTAAATTCTTCCTTAATAAAAAACTTCATAGTCAGCGAGGGGTTAAGTCTGTTCACTTCCATGAGCATTTCTTATTCTATCAGTGAGCGTGGTAGGCACAATTCTGGGACGGCCTCGGTCATCTCTACCCCTAGGGCGCCACCCTGTACATTCCCTTCTCCTAGAGTGTGGGTAGGAGATGGCCCTCACTTCTAGCCAAAAGAATATGGCAAAGGTGAAGGGATGGTAAGCCTATGCTTATAAGGTGTCACACCAGTGAGAGAGACTTAGAGACTGTGGGAGAGACAGAGACTGTCTTACCCATGGGAAAGACTCTCCTGCTGGCCTTGAAGAGGTCAGCTGCTTGGAGGTGACCTTCCCTGGCTGTGGAGGGGACTGTGGTGGCTTCTGGGAGCTGTGGTGGCTTCTGGGAGCTGTGGCCTCAGTCCTACAAACACAAGAAACTGAACTGTTCCACAAGGAACAACTCACAGGGAACCAGAGCTCCATAATGGGACGCAGCCCCACTTACATCTTGCTTGTACCCTGAGCAGAGGACCCAGTTAAGCCATGTCCAGAATGGTGACCCCCAGAAACTGAGCTAACAGCTCCCTGCTATCCCAAGTCCCTGCACTAGGGTTAATTTGTTGTATAGCACATGGAATTAATACAGTGAGTTTGTTCAAACTGTAATATATTTTTTAAAGATTTTTATTTATTTGATAGCAAGAGAGGGAACACAAGCAGGGGGAGTGGGAGAGGGAGAAGCAGGCTTCCCGTTGAGCAAGGAGCCCAATGCAGGGCTCGATCCCAGGACCCTGGGATCATGACCTGAGCCGAAGGCAGATGCTTAACAACCGAGTCACCCAAGGCACCACCAAACTGTGATTTTTAACCAATAATTTTTTTTCCCCTAGTTACACTGTTACTGATTTCCAACTCTACATTTTGGTCAGAAAGTTATCCATATGGTGTCTATTGTTTGATATTTGTTAAAATCAGCCTTAAAGCCTCATGGTCAGTTGCTGCGTGCCTGAACAGAATGGACATTCTCAAACTGTTTGGTGCAAGTTTCTACAAGTTACCATTACAGCAAGCATCTCGAGTGTCTTCAAATCTCTTATATCTTTGCAGGTTTTGTTGTTGTTTTCTTGCTCTATCGGTTACTAAAAGATGCGCTAAATATTTTAGAGGCCAAATTTCTGCATCTCTGTCCTTCCCTCTCTCTCTCTCTCACACACACACACACACTCTCTCTGTCTCTTCCTCCCTAAGTAGTTATGCCATAATTTTTATTTTTACTCATATAAATACTGTGTTTACAATGAACACAGTGTTTACATAAGCCACTATGAATAAACTTTTTATACAACCTTTTGTTTTCATTTGGAATTAGTAATAACTTCCCCTTTTTCTTTTTTGTTTAATTTTCTACAAGCCTCCCATTTAGTAATTCCCCAACTTTTCCTTTAGCACAACCAACACCAGATATATTTAATCGTATTCAAAAGAACTGAAACGTAAGTTCATACAAAACCTTGTACATTGGTGTTGCTAGAGGTTTATCTAGAACAGCCCCAAAGTAGAATT